CCACGTGGCCTCCCGTATCAGCGCCTCTGCCACTTGACATGTCCTGGTTGGTCGGGGCTACTGACCGGACGTCTGACGTGGTAAATTTTTTTTAAAGTGCGTTTTGACCCCCAGTTTCTGATTTTTCTTTTAAAAATCCCTCAAAAACTTAAATTTTCACATCTTTTTTCCAAAATTATTTTTAATTTAATTCTCCATCAATTTTATTTTATTTTTACATTAAATTAAAATAAAATAAAATACAATAAAATAAATTAAATAAAAAAATTATATTTATTAATAATAATATAAAAAAAAATTTTGGTGGGTGTTACATTGCTCCACTCCATTATACAGGCGAACAACTTTTTCTCTTCCCCTTCTTTAAGTTATTCATAATTTGTTTTAAGGATTATAAGCACTAATTTTTTTTATCTTTCTTTTTCTCTTCTTGATGTTTCATTTGCAAGATTAACTTTGGCCATTAAAAATGCATTATTCTTTTACATGATTTTAGATGTATAACATTAATCTCTTCTACGGTTTTAATCTCTTACATCATTTTAAAAAAATTTCTCTATTTATTTTCTTTTATTTCTCGTTTCATTTGTAGTATTAAATTTGATTATAAAATAATTTTAATTTTTCTCAAGATTTAAGATGTATACTACTAAATTTAAAAAAACTATTATGAATCACTAAAAATTCATTAATAATCTTTTAAAATTTACTGTTTGACACTTACAAAAGTAAAAAAGAATGAACATGTTTTGTTATCAACTAAATAGATGAAATAATTTTTGAGAATTTTGTTTTGGTTTTACACATATTTCGATTGATTTCAATTATTTTAATCCAATCAATTTTTTTAATTTTAAAAGTTTTCAACTAAATTAATTGAACTAATTATTTTCTTACTTTTACTTAGAGTAAAGATAGCCATAAGGTGGGTACGAGGTGATATATCAATTTTTGCATATGCTCTACTAATAAAAAGATAAATTTATAATTGCTCCATGCTCAAAGCAATCCATCATTTTTTTTTTTTAATTTTAAAACATCTAATATAATATTTAAATAATTTAATTAAAAATTATTAAATAGTAATTAAAATAAAATAAGACTTAAAATAATATTTAAATATATTAAAATAATATTTAAATATAATACTTACTAACAATTATAAATTATTATCATAGATATACAATATTAAATGTTTATTCAGTAAAAATTTAATTAATTTAAATAGAGCAGAGCAGGGCAGTGTGAAACACTGGAAAAGTAAATTATGGTATCCGTACCCCAGTTCATATCTGTTTCTTACTCGGTAACCATTAATTAAAAATTTTTAGCTAGAAGAATGTCCTGGGGCAATCTGCGGATCATCCCTTCCAATTGCTATCTCTTACACAGAAGATCAGTATCAACCTTTTCAAGGCTGCAACTGTAGAAGACAAGGGTAATTTCGTAATTGAAGTTCCATTTATGTAATTTGCATTGCGCTACTTAAGCCCTAATCGAAAAAGGGGAAAAGAAAAAGCCAACTTCATCAATTCTCCTCCGTTCTCAGAAAGAGGACCTTCATTTTCGATTAACGACTGAAATTTCAGAACCAACAATGACCAATGCAAAGAAGTATTACAAGGAGAAAATTGCTCGTCGCAAGTAAGTGATTTCCACTATCTAAGGATGTTTTTTTTTTCCTTCAGAAATCGATAACAAATTTTCAGTTCTACAATGGTTATTTAAGCCTATATTTCCTGTTCATCGTCCTCGGCCTCTGATGTTTACATGTTTACACGCTTAAAATTAATTTAAATATTGAAGAATTTGGATTAGTTATTGATTCTAAGATATGGTAACTGGGCAGGGAAGAGAAAGCAGAAGAACCAGAGCAACCGAAGTATAGGGACCGTGCGAAGGAACGAAGAGAAGATCAAAATCCCGATTATGAGCCAACAGAGCTGGGCTCGTTTCACGCTGTCGCTCCTCCGGGCACGGTTGATATCCGGTTAGACTTCCTTTATCCGCTATGTTTGTTTATTGTCTGCCAGTAGCCATTTCTGTTTATATACGGCCTGGTAATTGGTGTGACTTTATGATGATTGCTATGCTAATTTGTGCAGCTCTGCTGATGCACATAAGTTATCTATTGAGAAGAGCAAGTATCTTGGAGGTTCGTATTATCATCACATTGAATTTTCAATTGGGTTACTGTACAAATAAATGAGTGTGTTCTGTAGTGTTAGGAAAGACGTTGGTAAATTATGAATTTCTTGCACTTTCCTCTTTGATTTGGGATCTGTGTTCTTAATTGTTGCGTTAATGGTTTTAAGAGAATTGTGGTTATTTTTAAGTTTCTTGAGATATTTGTAGAAATATGAATCAGGTGATGTGGAACATACTCATTTGGTCAAAGGGTTAGATTATGCTTTGCTCAACAAGGTAAGGAGTGAGATTGACAAGAAACCTGATGTTGGGGATGATGCTGATGGGAAGTCGAGGTAAGATAAACTAAAACTATTTATATTGGACCAGATAATATTAGGCTTTGATTTTTTTATTGGTAACTTTAAACATGTTATTGTCTTTTACTGACAGACCATCCAAGGAAGACCAACAATTGTCTTTCCGCACTGCAACCGCAAAGGTTCATTGTATTCTTGAGAATCAGTGGACGATTGTCACAATTTCAGTTTATTGTTGGTTTGCAATTTCTTTCCTTTAGTTATTCACTCATGTCTTATTTTGGTGGATCAGTCAACTTACCAATGGATAGTGAAACCTCAAACCATTGTGAAGTCTAACGAGATGTTCCTTCCTGGTAGAATGGCATTCATTTTTAACATGGTGAGAATCTTCGTATACTTTTGTGCTCTTGGTTATCTTTCGAGCAGCTTTCCGTTTCTTCTGGACCCCTGGTCCATTAAATCTTGGTCTTGTTTGTGAATCTGCAATGCTTTTTCATCTGCTAATATTTGTTTGTCAATTAATATTTTTGTACATGGGCGACATTCCCTTGGTGCCAGTGTGTTAATTTACATGTTATACTTTTTGTTTCAAAAAAAATTTGTTTGTCAATCAGAAATTCTATGTTATATTTAATCTATGTAATAATTTGTGTGTATCACTAATCTTGTATCTATTTTATATATATTTTTTTACAGCGAACCAAGCAATCAAGAAAGAAAACTTTGAATTTTTTTCTTTATGAAATTGGCTCTGATACCAAAAACAGATATGAAACAATGTTCCAGATTGATTTTTCTAATCACATTAATTTGACTAAGAATGCATGTTCTGCTGTCAATGTGAAAGCCTATTACAAAGAGAAAATTATACTCTTATATTTAAATGTATTGTAATTTGCTATTTATCATCTTACAAGCTATTAGGATGTAGAGTTCTAAGCTTACAAAGGATTAGGTTCTAAAAACCAAATGATACAAATAGTGATCTAGACAAATTACAATACATGTAAATATAAGAGTATAATTTTGATCTAAAGTTAGCTTGAGTTGACTTTCCTTATACAATTTTCATTTATTGAATGAGCTGCTTGTAGGAAACATCAAAATATATCTGAAACTGTTTCAGGGAATCATGACTAGCATTTTACTTATCATTTGAGCAA